AATAGGTGATAGATATAGCAGCACCAGCTCTTATAGATCTTGCTGAAATTTCCAAGCTTGGTGATCACCTAAGGCTTGGCGACTCCATTGTTGAACTCCTTCAAGAAAGTTTGCAGACCTGTCATTCCATAAGCAACCATGTAAAAGAACAAATCCAAGAGCTTGTGATCTCCAGGCAGAGATTAAAATGGGAGAAGAACATGTCCAAGGAGGACCTTCACATAAAACAGGCAGCTGCACTTGTTGTCAAGCTGGAAGGGAATTCTCTATTTTCTTCAGGAAAGATTGCTGAAGCTGCCTCTAAGTACTCAGAAGCGTTGGCCTTGTGCCCAATGAGATCCAAAAAGGAGAGAGTTGTACTCTATAGCAACCGCGCACAATGCCATCTTCTCCTACAGCAGCCCATGGCAGCCATTAGTGATACTACACGAGCTTTATGCCTCCACAAACCATTTAATGGCCACGCCAAAAGCTTGTGGAGAAGAGCTCAAGCACATGATATGCTTGGTCTAGGCAAAGAGAGCTTGTTGGATGCCATTCTCTTCATCAACGAGTGCTCCCAGTCCAAAGATACTGAGCTATCGCTGAGACAGAATAGAGTTCCAGATTATGCCACCAAGTTATTGAAGAAGCAAATGAGATTTACATGGCTATTTCGAGAAGCCGCCATGAAACATGGTGCTGTATATTCTGAGCATTATAATGGCGATGCACAAGACGACGAGGCTGATTCAGATTGGGAGACGGCGAGTGAAAGCGATTTAGGAGACGACCAAAGGGAAAGTGAATTCTGAGGACAATGTAAATGAATGGGAGGATGATGAGAAGTTCTGAATGATAATCAACTTGTACTCTGAAGTCATTCATGCTTAGCATGAGATGTTTTCTCATTTCATGTGTGCTGAACTGATTGGCTATTTGTATTCATCTTATTTAAATGTTCAAATTTTTAGATATCTATTGAATTTGGCTTATAAACTGTTTTGCTTGTTTTGCATCATTGAACTATGTAGATCATAGTAGATGGCATGCACACTCAAGCCCGGAAACAAGCTCAAGTGGTAAGTCGTCCTTCATATTTCATCTGAATTTTAGGTTTCATTTGAGACGGCTTTTTTATTGCTTTTTTAAAGTGGAGTTTTTGTTAAAAAATTAAAATTTTTATACTAAAATTCTATTTTAAAAGGCAATGAAAAAGTCGTACCAAAGGAAGCCTTAATCATACACTTCAAAGCAAAGAGAGATTGAATTATTTTAAAGTGTATGATACAATATTGTATGCTAAAACATCCATAGTTAGCAGGTAAATCTTCCTTAGCATAGAGGAAAACTTAAAGAGAGAGATTCTCAATGGAAAAAGTCTTCATCATTAACCATAAAATAAGCAA